GTTTACAATTCAGAACTGGATTGGACTGTTTTTTAATTATATGCAACTTGCTGCTCTCAGGAGGAGGATGGAACTGGGTGAACTGGACAGACTGTGAATTTTACTGAAAGATGCAATACACCTTTGTGCTTTTTAATGCCCATGTTTGATGCAAGGAATGTAACTGGCAATAGAAAAGGGAGGATACGGAGAGAGGGATCAAGCAGGTGGCTTTGCCAGGTTTTGCCTAAGTTTTTTAAATGATATTGAGGCCAGTTCCTCATGGACAGACCTGTGGCTTTCCAGAACTCCAGTTATGGGAGGTGCTAGTAGATGCAGAAGGCACAAAACTATCACGGACGTTGCTGTAGAAAGCATTCGTGAAGAAAAAGATATGTTGCTATGCAGATCACGGATACAGAATAAATGAGGTCTCCATTTTTTTTTTTTTTTTAATTTATTTATTTTTTTTCTTTTTTCTTTCTGGGTTTAAAAGTGCCTAAAGCATGTCAGAGAATCTAGAGAGCCCAAACAGACTCAACTGCCTCCTTTTTGCAGTACCTAAACAGTATTGGGCAGGGGCTGCTGTTCCTCTATTTACACTCCTTTTCTCCTGCTGCATGTACTTCAAGATATGAGAGGGGAGAGAAGGAAAGGAGGAGAGACCCAGGATTTACACGTCATATCATCTGGTGATGCTTTGGAGACCTGGTTGACCCTAGCACTAGTTGTGAGCCAGGGTTCCATCTCTGAAATGATAGAGGACCTATCACAAATTTTAAACTGGAGCAGGGGAAGGTGTAATAACGAATGCCTGCTGCCTCTTCATCCTCAATTATGAGAAGAGACACAAGCCCAGCCCTAACTGAAAGCCTTACAAATGCGTTTAAAATCAATCAGCTACTGGAACCTACACAAGCTGAGCTGCCTCAGCTATTTTTTCATGCCCTTTGCACTACCAGTGATTGTGAATAGAACTGACTATTTTATTTCCCCTTCCTTATTCCCCACAGCCCCTCCCTTTTGTGAGAATTTGGGACTGCGTGCTGTTTTTTGGAATCTGGTGCCACCTTCAACAGAAAAATGTCTTACTCTTTTTTCTTTTTTTTTTTTTTTTTAAAAAAAAGGGGGGGTGGGGATCCTTCTGCCCAGTTGCAGAACTGCCTCCTCTTCCTTCCCCCCCACCCCTGTCCTTCATTCCAGTTCCAAATGCCCAAAACAGAAGTGGCTACCAGGATCCCCCCCTTCAAGGACAGGCCCAGAATAGAATTTGGAACTTGTCCTGTTTTGTTTCACTCCAACCCACAGCTACAGGGATATGGGGAAGCCTGCTCCTTGATCCAGAGGTGCAGCTGTGAACTGGCAAGTTCAGTGCAGATACACTATCTCCTTCTACATGCATACGTTTACAGCAATAATATTTGACACCCAATTGGAAAGTGCTGTGACATACTCTAATGATAACAGGACCCTGGGGTGGAGCAGACTGAGGAGGGTGGAAACTCAAGGAAACCTAGGACTGTGCTTTCTATAGGACATTTGATATTCCTGCCCTTGTAAATCCTTATTGTTGAACTATTCTGTCAACTGCCTTGAACTGTGCAGGCAACAACCTGTCATTACATCCACTACTGACCTTCTACTCTGACCACATAAGAGCAATTTGAAGATAACCTTCAGAAATCAATAATATGGTTTTTAGTTTGTCTGTTTTGTAGTTTTATTTTGAAGCCTAGTATTTCATAATTTAAAAAAAATCAGAAGCACTGAACTTTCTACGTTTTATAACATTATTTTGTATATAATGTATATTTATAATCAAAACAAAAGTGTAAATATGTTTATTACTTCTCATGTAATGTTTTTAATGTGAGGACAAAGTTTGAATTTTATTTTTTTTTTTTCAAACAATGAAAATATCTTCCAGCTACACTGAAGTATTGCTGTGGCTTGTCTTTACCACCCAGCTTTATGGTGGGGAGGAGGTTACTTCTACATAGCTCTCACATTTTTTGTTTTCTTTTCTGCTCACCCAGTCAAGAATGGGCAAGGTTTTTCTTCCTCTACAGAACTAGTAAGGGTTTTGTGCCCAGTTCTCCAGCCACATAGATTTCCTGAGATTCTGTGTTGAGTTCTACTATCTGTATGTGACCTGTGACTACATCCAAAGGCCCTTTTGGGGTGGTTTCAACAAGCAGTGAAAAAATGGATTAAGATAATGCCCAGAGGGCTATCACGCTCTGGAAATATGCATCATAAACAAAAAATAACTGAATCTTTTAAGACATCATGCAAGCCTAGCTGTCATGCACCTAATCCAGCTGTGTGGGTGAAAACTCTCAAAACAGGACAAAGTTGTCACCCCATTTGGAAATTAATAATTTCTTCTTTTTTGTTTTGAAAATGCCAAAAAGTACATTAAAGTGTCCTTCCCCCCATATACCTTAAATAGATTATTGTTTTAAAAGAAAATATCTAATTTAGAGAGCATCTCCCACAGAATCTTTACTGTGCTATTAAACTACTGCAAATGATGGTCAGTAAATGCAGAAAAACTAACATACAAGTGCTGTTATTATCAGCAGCTTTATTTGTTTTTACTCTCTTTTCTGCTCAGTTTCTTTCTTAGTAAAATTAGCTTTTAAATCCTAATCAATTTCCTTGGCTACCATTAAAAAAAACATGCAAGATGGAACAAGGAAATAAAAAGCTCCCTCCCATCCCCAAACATTCACCCTGTAGAGCAAATTATGAAAAACAAGCCATTGACAAAAAGCGGAGCAGATGCTCCCTGCTTGCAGCCCTTCCTCGGCAATGTGAAATAAGCCCAACAGATGCCTCTCTTAATTGAGCACACGGATTACATACACACACGGACTCTGTCTTGCTTAAAACAAAACACACACAAAATCAAACAGGAAAATAGCTCTTCCTACAGCCTAAGCAAGCATAATGCAAAGCCCAACAAGACCTAGTTCTTCCTGTTCAAAATGAAACAGGAAACCGTATCTCTAGACAGGAGGGAGCTGAATCCATTAAAAACCATGGAGCAGATTATGTAGCTCCAACTGTAGTAAAACAGGGACAGCACGTGCCTTTATGCATTTCCACATAGGAGAGCTGACAAAAAAAGGCCCTGTGCGTTGGCTTATAAGGAAATCTATGTGTAGATGTTCTGAGGAAATTGCCACACAACTTCCAGAACAGATCACAGATCCCACACAGGGAAAAAAGGGTGCATGGAGGGGAGGAAGGAGAGGTTTCATTCACAGTGTATATTATACAAAATGTGTGAATCCATGCACAACCACATACCTAAGATACATTGCCAGATAAATTAGAAGCATATCAACTAAATACATAATCTGACCTGGATTTAACTTGGCTCCTTTGGCCAAAACTTCATCCCTGCCCCCACCACCATTGTGCACTGGCTGCTTACCTTCCTGTCACCCAAGACATGGCTGCAGCTCAGCAGTTCTCTGACAGTTGTTTGAGAACAGCCTCCTGATCCTTCAGACTGAAAAATGTTCTGTGGGTATGAAATATTCCCTTGAATACATATAATGCCAGCACTGTAAATATAGATATAAGCTAGTTTTGATTCACCCAGTTCCTTCAATGTACTAAGAGAACTATTTCTTTAATGATAATGCATTACGTTTTGCGGAATAAACTTAAAACCCCTATGGACTAATAAAGCTAAATTTGTCCCTTCGTCAATGACAACAGAACTCTGGGTTTATCCAAAGGACTGTATTTAAACTTAGTTTCCAGTTTTTGAAGTTAAAAGAGTGGATATTTTCGAAGACTTTTGGTACTGAAACCACTTTGACATCGCCTGTTTTGAGTGTTATAATAAAGCCAATCGAGTGCAAAAGTCTCCTTAAATGGATCCAGTTTCAGGATTTTGCCTTTAATCTTTTGCCTTTGAAAACAGCTGGTATGGAGGGAAACAGATGCTGGGACATACCCGTAACTGCAACAGTGCCAGTGGCACTGCTACAATACACAGCAGAGCTTTGTTTATTCAAACCGAGCACAGGACATAGACATTATTTAGGTTTAGTGTTGAGTATGCTTGATCATTAAAACATTTCATAGTGCAAAGACTGGATAAAGGGGGTAACAAGGGTTCAACACCATCCAAGTGTCAGAGCACTTAACCAGTGGAAATCTTTGCTCCTCAGGGCTAAGTACTGACATTTAAAAAGCCTGAGCCTGAATTGATTCAATTTTCTATGCAGGTTAATCTAACCTGCATAGATTGAACTAAGAAGCAAGTGAATAGAGATTTACTTTTGATTCCGGAAATGCAGGCACTTGCCTAGAGTGGCTCAGGCTAGAAGCTGGGGGGGCACTAGAACGAGCCTTCCCCTTCCTTCCACAGTGGCTGGAAGGCTGGAGGGAAGCTGAGCTGAGCTGAGCTGAGCTGGGGTGGGGGGGTGGCCTGAAGGGGGAAGGAGTCCTTGCCAGGTTTGTCCCCAAGCAGCAGTGGGTGTGGCTAGCCGGTGGCACCGAGGAGTGAGAAGGGAGGAAAAGCCAGGCAGATCCCAGTTGGGGTCCTGTGCCAATGGGAGAAGAGAGGCAGGGGGGGTGTTAATCCCCTGCCCTCCCCCACTTCACCTGAGGCACTGCCAGCTGCCTACGCCTCCCGTCACTCGAACCATGAGCAGGGGGGAAAAACCAGGCAGACTGTGGCTGGGGGCCCATGCCAGTGGGAGAGGGATGGCAGGGGGGTTTAATCCCCCTCCTTCCCCTCTGCCTGAGTCTGCTGTTCCATATTCCAACCCCCTCTGCTCTAGTGGGGAAGAGTCTGGCAGGAGCTACTCTACCTCTGCCAGACAGACTGGGCTCTGTCCCCAGTTAGATTTTCCACCCCCACCCCCTTGTCAGCCAGCCCCCACTGCTCCAGCTAGAAAGCAGAAGGACGGGGTCAACCCTGCTCTGCTTAAACAGACAGCCCAGCCCAGCCTAGGGCTGCAAAGCA